TCTTCATTTGTAAGATACAAGAACATCAAAAAAATTGAACAAGTAATAAAATTAAAGTTCTAAAAAAGAGTGTTCCAAATTCATAAGTTCTCTTTCTCTAAGAATTTTTCCATATCTCTTCATCATACTTAGAGACTCTTTTATTTATTTCGAGTTTCTCGGATATTATGGTTTTGGACTAGTTCTAAACACTATCATTAGGTTTCTCTACACTTTCTTACGAGATAATTAATCGAAAATATATTTTTGATCAAAGAAATTGTAATGAAACCTTGGAGAGAAAACCATCCATGGCGAGTTTGTAGTTACTGTTTGGATCATCGCATGAACAAACCCTCTCGTCGACCCAAAAGACATGCCACTTGGACCATTCGATTGAGTTAAGGTAAGGAGGTTGCAACAACTTGCTGCAACAAGTAATTAATTAGACCATTATTATTGTTTTTTTTTATAGAAAAGAACAAAACATGTATATGTATAAGGAGAGTGAGAATTAGAGACCAGAGCCAATCGATGAGGTCACCGCCGGAGAGAACAACGGTGAAAAGGCCTTTCTCCTTACAGAACTTGGCAGAGAGATTAGCAGTGTACTCAGCAATTGCTTCCGACAATTCGTTCTTGCTTGGAAACACAATCATCTTCCTACTTGCCATCTTTGTCTATACAAAGATAAGAGTATTTTATGGTTAAAATATTTGAAGAAGAAGAGATGTGTGTTTACAATTGTGTTGGGACTTCTTGGTTCTTATAGAGACCGTGGGTAAGGAGCTCGTGACTTAATTAAGAGTTCGTTAGGAGGAATAGGGACATGTGATTTACATGGGATTTACTATTATTGTACGTATTCTTGTATTAATTATTTTTGTTGCTTATGATTATATACTTTGAGAAACAAAAATACATGATGATCAGTACGTAGCATTTTCTCTCACATGTAAAATGATTGTAACTAACTCTGCAGAAATTAATTACTACGACTTGCCAAAGAAAAAGTGGTTACAACTTGATCATAGGGTATTGGGCCGACTATATGTTATTATATTAAAAAAGTTCGAAGTCCTTCGAAATTTTTTATAAAAATTGGCCGGAGGCGAAGGCTTCAAAATGATTAACGTAGGCACCTCCTGTCTACCATACTTTTTTTTTTTTCCAGGAGGTAAAATTTTTCTTACCAAACCCGGCATTGTTGGTTACACTCATTTTACATGTGATGTGAGAGGTAAAACTACCGAACTTGATTATCTGCATCATTATCTTTGTATGATGTTCAACATTTTCAAATTTATCGCCCATATAGTGTTAGCTAGATTTGTTTTGTTAAGTATATAAAATCTTTTGAAATCTTTTTTTTTTGAACCTGAAATTTATACTATTATCATAAAGTTTTGTTATTTTTTATTGGAGATGAAGATGGTTCTCACTTGAGAATTTTTTTTTTTTTTAATATAAATATAGGCCTTTTTTCTTACTTTGGTCTCTGGTCTGTGAAAGCCTAGAAACAGTTCTGATATATTTTGAAATCTTGACTACCGTAAAATAAAGAAAACATAAATGATTTATATATCCACTTATAAATGGCTATATGCTCACAAGAATATATTTTACCCTTGAATGAAAAAAAAAAAAGATTAGTACGATTCATTCTCTATAAATACACACAATCGCAACACCAAAACCTTCATCTTCGCACTAACTGTTCTCTCAACTCATGTTACTCATCCAAAATTTTGTTTGTTAGGATTAAAATAAACAATACTCATATTTGTAAGGGTTATTAAACATTATGGACATTATTTAGAAAATAATGATCAAAATAGACACTTGAAAAAATCAGCACACTTTTGTAACTATTCCATTTTTTAAAATACCAAACTACCCTTTTTATATATTTGAAAACGCACGCGGATACAAGATCGTGGATAAAATAATTTGGCACTCATCTAACGGAGTGGACATAAAAATATTTTTAAAATGATTATGTCTGCCAAAATAACATGTGAATCAACAAATGCCTTTTAAAAATATAAACAAAACATATACCATTTAAGAAACAGAATAAATACGTTTTTTATTTATCAACAGTAATCATTCTACTGAATTTGAATATGCGTGATGAGATGACATATTTACGACACTAACACAATCTATTAGACTGCGCCGATTAATTGAAGTTTTTTTATATATTTCTTTTTATTATTATTTGTACAATATGTATAACATTTTTAATTATTCATTCAAAATTTCAAACTATACCGTTGTCTCATGCCGCTAAAAAACCTTTNCCAAACGGAGAATTTAACATTATATATACACTTTTTTACCAAGTAATAAGCAATAAATAAAGACACTTTACTGCATCTAAACACTTTCTTGCAACAAATGCACACAATTTTCCTTTTCTACCCTTAACTAGAGAGAGGAGATGGTTGGATTGAGTTTACACACCATCAGGTGATTGTTGTGAATAAAAAAGTATCTTTTTCTAAATTATCTGCCATCCATTTAGCATCTTTCTTAAAACTAATCGTGTGGTTCACATCACCTTAGAGAAGACATACTGAACATGGCAATGGAAAAGAGATCTAAGGTGGTTCACACCGGACAGGAGATTTTGGTGATTTGATGAGTCAAGTATATTCAATTGGATCAATGACAACGGTTTCATTAATTAATTGGTGGATTTCGTATTCAATTTTGAGACATATTCCTGCGAACTTCCCTCCCTTCAAATATTTAAGGATTTAATTATGCTGAGATGATTTTGAGCATGTGGGATGAGTTTTTGATTGTGTTTTTTTTTTTAACTGTACGACTTAAAAAAAGGTCTTGTACAATTAACTGTACAATTATCCCAACTTTCTTATCCATGAAATTAAATTAAAATGGTCAATGGTTTATGATCATTTTTCATAGCATTTATTGTATTGACCATGTTTTCCTTTCCCATCTGGTCAAATAAACTTGGTTTTATATAATCTCTCTGTGTTTAGGTTATGGGATTTCTTTCAAATATTTTTTAAAACTTGTAATTGGTATTGTCTATCGAGGACATACGTATTTCCCTTGTACTTGTACATACATCATGCATAGGTTTAGTCCTTTTTACATGTCAACTGTTGACAGAATACCGTGGATGACTAACTTAAAACCTTCGGTTGTTCATAGTTTTATTATTAGCTTTTGAATGTTCAGGGTATAGAACG